AAAAAAAAAAAAAAGGTATCACAGATTCAAGGACCATTTTGAGCCAGAAAGTAAAGCGATCAAAGCCATGTGTTATGGAAAGTAGGACAGTTTTGTGGGAACTTGGCAAGCATCGCAGACTGCACAGCTGGGTTCAGATCCCAGCATGATCACTCATTGATTGTGACTCTAGATTAGTCCGTTGACTTCACAGAGGCTCAGTTTGGTCGTCTCTACACCCATTCTAGAAAGGCTCAAAGACAGACTGACATTGCCTGCAGATTAAATAAGATAAATAAAGAAAATGATGTCTGTCATGTACTAATTAATAAATGGTCATTGTAATCAATGGATTTGAGAAAGGGATGCTCTGGACAAGAATCGTGTAATAAATGGTCCTCTGTTGTTACTAAAAGAAAAAAAAATTTTTAAGAAGCTATATTTAGGCCACTCATTCTTAAAATGAAGCGTAAATATCATCATTGCTAGTGTCACTGAAGAACTAACTCATGCCAAGCACGATGCTAATACTTTACGTATATTATCTCATTTAATCCTCTTTGAAAAGAGCCCACATCTGCCTGTGCTCTTTTTTTTTTTTTTTTTTTTAATTTTTTTTTTTTCAACGTTTATTTATTTTTGGGACAGAGAGAGACAGAGCATGAACGGGGGAGGAGCAGAGAGAGAGGGAGACACAGAATCGGAAACAGGCTCCAGGCTCTGAGCCATCAGCCCAGAGCCCGACGCGGGGCTCGAACTCACGGACCGCGAGATCGTGACCTGGCTGAAGTCGGACGCTTAACCGACTGCGCCACCCAGGCGCCCCCTGCCTGTGCTCTTAATAAAAATGCTATGGATGTATTACAATAATGTCTCATCAATTTTAACCAGGATTGACCTAAGTCTGATAAAATTCTAACCTGTGTTTTTAATCCATGGTTTTTAACTTTAGGATTTGCAGGGAAGCCGGGTGAGAAAGGAAACAGTGGTGTTCCAGGGTTACCGGGTTTAAAAGGACTCCAAGGGCCACCTGGACCACCAGGACCACCAGGTAGAGCAGATTCTCTGATAGAAATATCAGGAGTTAAGTTTCCCTATGTCTGAACATAACAAAAATGTATTTCTTGACTTACTGGGTTGAATATGAATTTTGCTCCCATAGTGTTCCAGCAGAAATTTGCTTCACAATTAAATCAGAATGAAGCTGTTTATAGTCAGCCTATATTAACTAAAAAATATTAACTTACACAGAGTTCCATTTTTGAACATTTGTTTTTAGAGAGAGAGAGTACAAGTGGGGGTGAGGGGCAGGGGGAAAGAGAGAAAGAAAGACAGAGAGAGAGAGTACAAGTCGGGGATAGGGGCAGAGAGAGGGAGGGACAGAGAGAGAGAAAGAGAGAGAGAGAGAGAGAGAGAGAGAATCTCAAGCAGGCTTTATGCTCAGTGTGGAGACTGACGCAGGGCTCGATCCCACAACTCTGGGAACATGACCTGAGCCGAAATCAAGAGTCAGATGCTCAATGGACTGAGCCACCCAGGCACCCCCAACGTTCCATATTTGCACCAAAAATGTTATTTTGACATTGCTGATATGTATTATAAACTATAATTTATCACAGTATCATATATCATAGAAGAAAATCAGGTAATGATTTAGAGGTTTCCGGATTTGCCTTTCTTTTTTTTAAACGTGCTATTGAGTTTGCAAAGTAAATTTTTAAACAATCACAGTAGCCCCCTATTCTCTCTGACATCAGTTACAAAATATGTTACATGGCAGTAAAACTTCGTATTGCATTTGGAAATTTATTGCGATATGGTGGCAGGAACCCCCTCTTTTCTGCTGGCATTGGTCCTAGAATGGTTTTGATGTTTGAACTCCAGGCCTGCTGACAAGAATCTAAAGTTCTCTAATTTTACGTTTTCTGCGTACTCAGTCCCCTCCTCATCTGAAGGCAGAAAGGTAGCTACACAAGGACATAACCTAGCTGATCTGGCTGCTTAGAATTCATTTATTCATACAAGCAACAAATATTTACTGACACCTACTATGTCCAGGAACTGTGCAGGACATGTGACTATTTATTTCTTCTCCAGGCCCCAGAGGAGATCCAGGCAACATTGGGAATCCCGGGGCACCAGGACCACGTGGCGTGCCAGGAAGCATGGGGATCATGGGGGTGCCAGGTAAGGTATAAGGTCCTGTCCGTGAGCCGAAAGCTCAATTCTATTCTAGATTTTCTGTATGGTTTGTTGTTTCGGTTTCCCATTTGGTAGAAAGTTGGTGTAAAACTAGATTTACTTTTAGACAAACATACTGTGTGCAATTAGAACACAGATGAGAACTAAATAAATATTCATATTGTGTAAAGATCACCCATGGTAACTAGTCAACATATCAGTGATTCTAAAAAGCCAGAAAGGTGGTTTATACAAAAGTGAGAAGCAGAATGTTTCATTTTCCCTGACCTCTTTCCTAATTGCAGGTCCTAAAGGACACAGGGGAGCTTTGGGACTACCAGGTTTAACTGGAAGGCCAGGCCTCCCAGGTGTTCACGGTCTCCAAGGAGAGAAGGGAGAGCCGGGTTATTCAGCAGGTGCAAGGCCAGGATCACCGGGACCAAAGGTATACCGGCCACTGAAGTCGTTATGCTTTAGCGAGGGGGCTGAGTCTCTATAAGTATCAGCAAGTGTCTAGATTCAGTGTGGGCAAAAAGCATTGAAAATACAGCTGTGTTTTCAGGCGATGATTTGGGTTTTTTTAATCCCGTTTCCACAGCTCAGAATGCCTATCACACAGCTATTGGCTTATGAGTTTATCCCTCCAATTTCAATACCCAAGGAATTGCTTATCCCTGTTCCTGCCATTTAAGCGTCCTGCCTTTGCATTTTGCACCGGTTCCAGCAAATCCTGTAGCCATCCTGTCCCCGGCCCCTGTCACAGTGCCTGCATCAGCAGACATTTAATAGGAATCGTTAACTCAGTAACTAAATCACTAACTAAATGCTAGCAGAGTCGATACTCAATTCTGATCACATAGCCTGCTTATATGAGAATTCTAAAGGTGTTTGGCTGACTTTAAGGGAGATCCAGGATTTCCAGGTGACATGGGAAGGAAAGGAGAAAGAGGGGTACCTGGAGCACCTGGACATTCGGGGCCTGCTGGACCTGAGGGAGCCCCTGGAAACCCCGGAAATCCTGGTCACCCAGGTGAGCGTTGGCTTTACAACTCAGAAAGCCAGAAGCGGGACTCTCAGCATAGCCCTCACCTCCTAGAATCATCTGCGTAAATTGAAAGCTATTTAGGTGTTTGTACTATGATTGCTTTTATTCAACTTTGATCATCAAATTCTTAGACTCTGAGGAACGGGAAATCAATCAGGAGGAGCCCCGATCAGCCAGTTGGATGGACTGACATCTAAAAACCTGATCCTGTCCATAAAACTTAAGTTCTGTCTCAAAGAATTCAGCCTAGAGACACAAAATGTTAGTTCATTGGGCCGCGTGGGTGGCTTAGTAGGTTAAGTGTCCCCCTTCGGCTCAAGTCGTGATCTCGTCGTTTGTGGGTCCAAGCCTCGCGTCCTGTTCTGTGCTGACAGCTCGGAGCCTGGAGCCTGCTTCGGATTCTGTGTCTCCCTCTCTCTCTGTCCCTCCCCCACTCTCTCTCTCATAAATAAACTTGAAAGAAAATTTTTGTAAATGTTAGTTCATTGCCCAACCGCATATTCGTATTACTTTTCTAGGGCTTCCATAACACAGACTTCCTGCCACAGACAGGGCACTTAAACAGCAGAAATTTATTTTTTCACAGTCCTGGAGTCTGGAGTCTGAGCTCAGGACGTCAGCACGGATGGTTTTTTCTTCTGAGGCCTCTCTCCTGAGTTGGGCAACTTCCTGCCGTGTCTTCACATGATCTTCCTTCCCTGCGTGTCTGTGTCCTAATCAATGCCTCTTGTGAGGACACCGGTCATATTGGATCAGGCCCCACCCTAGTGACCTTGTTTTAACTTAATAGCTTTTTTTAAAGACCCAGTCTCCAAATACAGTGATCTCCGGAGGTTCTGGGGTTAAGGACTTCAACGTGAATTTGGGGGCAAGCACTGTTGTGATTTTTTTTTTTTTTCTGGCATGGTTTCAGGTTGAGCATTGGCTTTCTTTCTCATTTGCCTATAAATTTGAGTTTAAGTTTTTGTTTTATTTTATTAAAAACAACCACCAGGCTACTGGGTTGCAGCTTACTGAAAGATAACATTTAAACCGTCTTTTCAAATACGGAAAGGTTCAGTGGATTTGCTGTTAACTCCCAGTTAAAGTCATAAATCAGATGCTGAGTGGCCCGTGTGGCTGGTGCACAAACACGTTTGAAAGTGATTCGACACATCTCTGCTCTGCTTCTCTGGCGAAGGGCCTGAAGGCCAGTGTGAGGCACAGGTGACTATAAAAAAGGACCATTTCTGCCATTGTTGTAACCATTTACCTTGTGCTATTCTTTTTTTCCCTTCTCTTCTCTCTTTATTTATAGGAAAGCCGGGCCCTGATGGTGATTTGGGGTTAAAAGGCATTAAAGGCTTCCCCGGTCCTCCAGGAGTAAAAGGCCCTCCAGGTTCCATTTTTGTACTATTTCCCCTTCAAGGACGGAGGCATATTTTCTCCTCAGGCTGGAATCTTTGCATACCTATCTGCTGCTCCTTAGAAATTAGCTCCCAGTTACTCAGTCCCCAGACCCAAAAAAAAAAAAAAAAAAAAAAAAAAAAAAAAAAAAAATGAGGTTAGGTATTGATACCTATCTAATTCAAAGATCTGCCAGCCTCCACCTTCTGAAGTGATGATCTTCATGGTAGTATAAATCTGTTCATAGTTTTCACGGTGAAGGGAGCATCACATAACTACAGTTCTGGGGGGCGGGGGGAAGGAGCACCTTTAATAGAATTCTACATATCCAGTGTTCACATCAGGCCATTGCCAGGAAGTATGCCCTCTCTTCGAATGGCATTTCTTTTCTCAGGACCTCCAGGATTTCCAGGACCTCCCGGACCAATGGGGATGAGAGGCAACCAGGGACGTGATGGAATCCCTGGCCCAGCAGGAGAAAAGGGAGAAACAGGTACACGTTGCTCATGAGCTTGGGTCCACTGGTTTCATTGTGCATTGAATGGTCAGTGCCATTGTAATCCTTCACTGCTCTAGAGATACTTCTCCAATGGAATCGATGATCTTTAATGTGTTCTGGGTGTGTGGTGATTAAACTTCCTTCTGTTGCCACAGTGAAACTGACCAAGCAGAATATATGAAATTAACCACATATAAAACACTCAGGTACCAAACTCTTCTCTTTCAGGTTTGCTGGAAGCAGTTCCAGGCCCCAGAGGGAGCCCTGGAGTTCCAGGTGAGCAGTGCTTCACTCCCCCCGACCCTGGTGATCTAGATTTCAAGGACAGAATCTAATCAAAATCGCCTGGTATATAAAATAAACTTAACATATTGAATTAAAGAAGTCCCAGTGGTAATATAAGATGTTTACATTCTTAGTATTCAAGATGCTTAAAAATTATGACCACCATTGCAAAGCGAATGAATCAGCAACTGTGATCCAACTTTGGAATTTCTTTCCATCGAAAATCTTTAAAAAATCAGAAGACTTCCTATGTAGTCCTTGGTTGTGGCTGTTGGCATGGTTTAAATGTATCACCTCCTAAAAGGGTGTAGGGGGAATTGCTGGCTTGTCCATGAGCACCCCTCTCTCTGTGAGCACCCCCTCTCCGTGAGCACCCCTCTCTGCTATTCTGAGCAGGGGGCAGCGGGGTGGGAATAACATGCAGTGATGACACGAATTCTTTCCCACCTTGTTATCTTCATGGGTCTGACTCCCACCCCCAGGGCCAGCTTGTGGTTCAGACTATTTTTTATTAAGGGCTGGCTACCAGTAACTCTCTCAATGCCAAACATGGCAGTTTGCAGAACATGTCATTCAAAGTATATCCAAGATTTTAGGTTGACAGACTCTGAGTCCGGATTTCTCATGGCAGTGTTTTACAAGATAAGCAGCTTCTTCAAACTTCTTCCATTTTGTGGAGAAATTTGCCAGAAGAAATATTAGATCATTTGCATCTTCTATGGACCCTTCACAGACGTGGGTCCTGCGGACAGGAGTATTTTATTAGCAAAAAGCGTTCTTCCTATTGAGGACCTCTGGGTAGCGATGCTTGTGGGAAACAGCAGGGAGTAGCTGGGTCCTACTGAGAAGCTCAGAGGGGCAGGAACTGCCTCTCCACCTGTGAGCTCAACTGTGAAAGTCTACAAGAGCTGCACTTTTCCATTTGTTTCTTGGTGGTGTCATGGTCTCTTTGGTTGAGCTCAGTGTCCTCACACTTCCTGGACCCCACCTTCCTCCACGAGCATGGAGGCTTCTCCAGGTCTCGTTCACAGATCAGGTTTTAGAATTACGGCCAAAGGGAGAGTTTCTGTTCATTTTCCTAGGCTAAGCTCAAAGTTTAACCATTTGGAGTAAGAATACTTTGGCATTTGTTTGGAAATAAAATTTAATATAAAATAATCATACCTTAAGTCAAAAAGCCTTAAAAAAATAACAACTAGCCCAATTATGTAAGTAGATGATTATGTGCCTCAGTCCCTCTAGGATAACGAAATATGGAGAAGACTTCACTGAGACTCCCAAATGCTAAAATGAAATCATACTGTGAAACAAGGAAGCATCTTTATGGGCATGGACCATACAACCTAAGACCACATCTTGGGGTCTCCGACCACTGCCAGACTCTGTTGTACAAATACCCAGCATTTCAGAGCTTCAAGTGAGCTGAAGCCATCTAACCGCTTTCTTTGAAAAACGTAAATTACAAGTATAAAAAAAAAAAGCTAAAGAACATGATAGACAAAGGCTAGATATTCAATATTTTAATATTCATCCATTTTATTTGCATCATCACTCTGCCTTCCTGCACGATAACGTCCCAAGCCCTTCCCTGTGCTAGCAGCCTCATCCTTCTTCTTCCTGTCCCCTACCTGTGTGCCATTCACTATTTCTAGAATAACACAGAGAGAAAAAATAGGAGGGAGTGATTATTTGCATTTCATACGTTTCCCATTCATGAACATCAAAGCCCAATTTTCTTGAAGGTTCTCCAAGGTGAAGAATATTAGTAATTAAGTGATGACTTTTTGGGAATCCTCATTGGTAATTCCAAACCCCCAGCCACCGCCTTCCCTTCCAGACTAGTGTTTCTTTGTGTTATGGGGGAGAAGAAAGGAGAGAAGAGGGATTGCAACTTTGTTGTTCCTTTGTCTGGGTTTAGCTGTGTGACTCTTCGGATGCACACATCAATGCCAGGAAGTTTAGCTCTGAACCTTCTCTCTATTCAATGTCATTGTAATTAAAGTTCATCAGATAATATTAATTGAAGCAGATAGTGACACAAGACTTCAGAGTTACACTACACTTTTCCATCTGTATATTATCTCACTTGATCTTTAAAGACTGAGCTACGTTAGGTGTTTAAAGTAAGAAAAACTGGGGCACCTGGGTGGCTCAGTCAGTTAGGTCTCTGACTCTTGATTTTGGCTCAGGTCATGATCCCCAGGTCACAAGATCGAGCTCCACATCAGTCTCCTTGCTGGGCATGGAGACAGCTTAAAATTCTTTCCCTCTCTCTCTCTCAAAAAAAAAAAAAAGAAAGAAAGAAAAAGAAAAAAGAACAAAAGAGAAACTGACACATATAATAGTGAGGTGACTTTGACAAAATCAAAAGACTGAACTAAGGCAGAAATTAGTCTCGACTCAGTTTCTTATTGACCTGTATTTCTTTTACCAGCCTCTTTCAAAAACTATATTGCGAATCTTAACGCCTTTTAAGCACAGCATCTGCGTTACTAGAGATTGTAATTGTAACTCCAAGTAGAAGACCATTACAGAAACTTACCAAACCTTTTCCTTTGCAGGAGCCAAAGGAGACAGGGGAGCCCCAGGCTTACCCGGCCTCCCCGGCAGGAAAGGGATAGTGGGAGATGCCGGGCCGTGGGGACCCACCGGCATGACGGGACTCCCAGGACCACCGGGTTTTCCTGGCGCAGTCATCCCTGGCCAGAAAGGAAATCGAGGTCCACCAGGCTTCAGAGGAAACCCAGGTAGAGGGTCTACTTTTATTTTTTTATTTATTTATTTTTTTAATTTTTTTTTTCAACATTTATTTATTTTTGGGACAGAGAGAGACAGAGCATGAACGGGGGAGGGGCAGAGAGAGAGGGAGACACAGAATTGGAAACAGGCTCCAGGCTCTGAGCCATCAGCCCAGAGCCCGACGCGGGGCTCGAACTCACGGAGCGCGAGATCGTGACCTGGCTGAAGTCGGACGCTTAACCGACTG